GAGGACATCGCCTATCGACAGGTGCGCTGCCAACGCCAACGGCAGAGTTGCCTCCCCCGACCTCAGGAAGCCGAAAAAACAAGTGCACGCAACACCCCAGAGCATGACCGTGTTGAAATCGCCGCCCCTGGCCTCCCACAAGCGTCTGAACCTCCGCATGATATCCGTGGTGATTGCCAACCTCGCCGGAGGGGTATCAGCATCTGTGACCGTTTGACCCTTTGTAGCACTTACTGTAGAACCGCCATCCCGCTCATTCGTTGGGCGCAACCCAGGCGGTGACTCTGGAGGTAGCGCAGCGCTGACCGATAAGACTTTATAGTTCTGCACTATATATTCTGTGCAGCTAGCCATGCGGAATATGTACATAGACCAGATTGAGTCAACGGCAGAGTAGGTAGGTTTGTGGCAGAGCAGAATTCGGCGTACCGTGCTTGTGCCGAAGTGTACGCACATACCATTGCCGGAGCCAAAGCCGAGTCAAAGAATCGGCGAACCAGGCCGTCTAGTCTGGCTCTGCTGAGTCCCAGCTGTAGCTCCACTGGCACTACTGCTGGATATCGAGTGGCTGTGGGAGCCTGGGAGAAGAAGGCGTCCAGGTTATTCTGGGAGATGGCGTAGCCAAAGCACCATGGCCTGCGTGTCAAACTCGATCCCTGGCACTGTAAGCCCCGTCGAGGGTCCCTCGGTCTTATCCTCAGCCAAGAGAACCCCTAAATTCTCGCACACTTGCTGGAGGCACCGCGGGCCCCTTTCGCACTCTGCACTGCCGGGCGGGCCGAGGAGGAGAAATCGTCGATGTAATGGAAAAGGGTTTGCACTTCAGTGCTTTTCATTGTTTAGTGAATGATAAAAGTGTGAGGACTTGCAAAGAGATTGTGTTGAAGCAGCATTGTAAACCTTGTTAGTTAAACGAGTGTTTATGGATATACAGTAGTTCCCCTCTTCTGAGACCACCCTACGGTTATTAATTCTCCAAGAGGAGTGGTCTGTGACCAGGAGGAGGTGTGGTCAGTGGGTGGAGCTAACTACATACAGACAGAGACCACATGCTATTTAACCGCGATCGTATAAAATTTACACAACAATGAATGGAAGGAGCTGTGGTGAACAAGTTCTAAAGTATAAACATGTAGGAACCATTGTAAAGAAGTCACTTAGTTTTGTTTGCTTCAAGCGATCAGGATTGCACATGAGCTTTTCTATAGCAGTCCTGCTTTTACTGATTAGTTCGACCAATCCTGGGCTTTGACGAGATAGTGCAAAATCCCTAAGATCATCCTGGTAGCTAATAGCTGTCAACAACCATTTCATCTTCCTCTTCATCTTCATTTGTGTCGGCTTTATCTTCAGATGAGGACTTGTTTCTAGCTTTTTCCAATAGCGCTGCCTCCCAATCTTCATCAATTGTCCTGTTTGTAGCAAGGTCCTGATCAAAATTTGCATAGTTTCCACGAAAGCACCCAGACTACTGTCAATGGTACATGTAGTGTCTTCCTCTGGATCAGCAAAAACAGCTAGGGTTTAAGCAGTTTTGAATTGTTGCAGGTTTAACATTGTCCCTGGCAGTCTTCAACCACATTATTGCAACAAGAACATTCCAACTTTTTGCCAAATCAGATGCACACGTAGCTTCATTCATATGGAAAAGAACATGACGCAAAAGCAACTTTATGTAGTGCATTTTGGTAGCCTGTATGATTCCAGCATCGCACAGCTGCAACTTTGATGTGGTGTTGGGTGGGAGGAAAACCAATTTAACATTGCTGAACTGTACATATGGATGTGCAGTGCAGTTATCCACCAACAAGAGAATAGAGTGGCCTTCACATTTCATTTTGCTGTTTACCTTATCCAACCACTGCTGAAACAATTCAGCAGTCATCCAAGCCTTTTTGTTGGAAGAATAAGTAACAGGAAGGCATGCAAGGCTAGCCAGGCCTTTGAAACATCTATATACGATTGGCGCTATGACCAATCACAAATCGTGTCAACTTTTCTCCTTCAGAACAGGGAAGCAGAACAGTTATTCTCTCCTTACATTTCTTTCCACCTTCGCTTCCTCACCTTTGACTGACATTGACTTGGTAGGCAAAGCTCGGTAGAAGAGACCTGTTTCGTCTGCGTTGAAAATGTCCCTTAGCTGGTAACCTTTGCACAATGACTCAAGACGCCTGCCCCAGTCATCTACCACACTCTCACTTACGTCGGCACCTTCGCCAGCCATTCGAACATTTGTCGTTTCTTCCAGCGATCGAGCCATCCATTTGATCCCGAAAGTCCTTTGTGACCAAGCTCTGCTGCATATCAAAGAGCTTGTTCCTGAATCATACGGCCACTCACTGGGAGATTTTTGGCCCTATCGGTTGTGAACCATTCGCAAACCAGCGTATCTAAATCGTCGTAGCCTGCCGTTCTGGGCTTTATGTACTTTTTACTCGATTGTTCGCCACTTTCCCATCTTCTCAGTACTGTCTTCCCGACACCAAGTTCGCTTGAAACTGCACGACAAAACTTTCCTTCCTCCACTTTCTTCAGCACCTCTCCCTCCCCTCTCCTCCAGGCTCAAAACCTTTCACTTACTAGACATGGCGTCTTGACCGCACCCGGCCACGCTCTAGGTCACGTGAGGTCGTAAATTCGGGTCGCTGGTTGCGTACGTAGTGTGGTCGCCCACAAGGGATTGCACATGAATGCAGTGCAGTGTCCATGCCTGCATAAAGCGGTCTGGAATGCGCGTGAGTTGTAGCATCGCTGTATGCTGGGCCGTGCGTTATCGACGGAGCCAGTAACACGAGTCTCGCCGTAACACAGGGTAGTTGCATTAGTGGTTCGAGCAATTGCTCAGGTGTTTCAGAGGCTCTCATATTTGCTTTATTCAATCTATCCGCTCTTCTGTGTTTCAATGCTCTTGCCAGACGTTTTATAAATGGGAAGGCAAGGCCGCAACCACAAACTGCTCGCCAACTGAACTATTATGCTACATTGCGAATATACCTTGCTCAGCATGTTTATCCATTGAGAATAGCAATATTGGCATATAGCGTTATATAGCCTGCGGGAGAGGGCGTGTGCACGATCGACCGCACGTTGGCTTTTTCGCTTGTTTTCATGCTATATCTCTGGAACGCAGTCGTTTCAGGGAAATCGCCACGTTAGTATCCATCTTCTCATTCACAACCCGTTGGTGCCACTGATTGGCCGCCTCGTAGTCTGTAGTGCAAGAAGTCGCGCGGACAGACAGACCGACAGACCAAGTACCGTAACCCTCGCTGCGCATGCGCGCCAAGGGTTAATTAAAGCGGCACACTCATGGTTCGTGACAATATAGGGTCTATAGTGTGAAGGAATACTTTTACGAGCAAGCAATGTGAGTTAGGTATGGATACCATGCCTGCATTCACTATTTTTATTTCAAAAGTTTACTTGTGTACTGGCATATGTGTCACCTCCAAGGCACCCTAACTAACCCACGTGGAACAAATTGCAGAACTATTAGCATGGTTTTTTGTACACAACCTAACATCTGTGGGTCCAATAAAATTTACTGCTCCTCTCTTTTTTTGCAAAACAGTTATTTGCTTTACCACAGCAAATGGAATATGTGTGAGTTATGTTCACGGACGTCATGGTTTGTAGATGCGTTCCAGTGTTCTAATCACAGAGTTGTGCTATCGGTCACCTAGGTCAACTTTTAGAATTTAGACTCTCAGAGATTGGAATTTGAGGTGGATGTGGTAAGTTAACAACATGTTTAACACAATTCTGTGTCCAACCTCATCATGCTGCCCACAGTGGGGCTAGGGCTACATGCGCAGTTCGGTTTACTGCAGTTGTCATGTGTGTCTGTCCGTTACTCTGACATGAATCGCTCCACAAACAATACCAGATATTTGGCGGCGGGTATAGGTTGAAAAATATGTTGCATTTTCTCTGAAACTGCTGCGTTCGAGAGTTACAGTGTGAAACACTTAGCGAATAAGTCAATATGCACATTACAACTGGCTTACCTCGACAGACAGCTGATAATCTTTTTGGGATACACGTACATTTTAATGGCTCTCGAATCTCGAATCTCGAATCATGGTCGTGTCCTAATGGCGCAATTCGAAAACAAAGGTTACCACGATTTGGACTGAATTCCATAGAATTTATTACTGATTTGAATTGAAACTTTTGTGTAGTGTGTATCTTACAAGGCTCCTTTATTTAGCACAAGCTTTTGTTCACTCTTCATTGCGGCAATATAATAATCGTAGTGCACCTGAGTGCACCACAAAAAGGATCTCAACTACTGAAATAGTCAGTTGATGTTGTGTTGAGCCGGTGCATAAGAGAATGGTACGGTTGAAGATGTGAGGCCCATTGAAAGTCTATGCGTATTGTGTTGAGATTATCAGCAGAAGTCAAGTGGTGGTAAAGGATTTTGAGCTAACTTTAGCACTGCCGCAATTATATGTATATGGGTCGCAAGTATGGAGACTGCATGTGGTTTGTGTGTTTTCAAATATAGAGAATTGTGTTGGTAGAAAAGTTCTGGTTTAGCTTTTTCCCGCTGAAGACACTAGCAGCTCCTGCTGAAACTTTCAATGAACCTCTACTCTTTGTCCTAGGACTTTTTGGCAATGCAATTTTGTAGTTGGCAATGCAAATGAGTGGTATACACTATGCCGGATCGTGATGAAGGATGCGGTGTTTGGGTCAGAAATATGTTTTTGTCACATGATTGTAGTACATACGTATAAACGAGGGCATTTCGTAACCAAAAAAGCCAAACGTTGCCTACCTTAAGATTTCTTTCCAAGTCTAAGGCACTGAGGGATAGAATGGCACAGTGTAAACATCTATATTGTGCCATATGATATCAATATATAGATTCTGTAAGGTGTGGGTTTGCATGCAGTGATGCTGCATTTTGACATTTCCACTGTTTATGGATGTTGGTGTCAGGTAGTGTGTGTGTGTTACACCAATTATGTGAGTTTTTTTGTATGATGCAGGTGCCAGTCCACTCACACTGTTTTATAAGAATGTACTCCGTAGTGCATTTCCTCCTGTACGTTGTGCTTTTGCATATGGGTCGGCAGTGTTTCACCAGCACAGACGACCTGAGGTTAGAGGTTAGATCAATAATATGTGGAACATTACCAAAGTTGTGTTAGGCTTTCTTGCTTTACCACTGTGATATTATGCGCGAGGCTCCTAATTCTGCAGCATGGCTTGGTCAGTAAGTATATGTGTTTGCATATTTACGTATGTCAGTGACGCTGTTCTTCGCATGCTCGCAGACGGAGCGTGACTTTCTGCTCTGCTGTGTCATGCGAGGGCTCCATGTGTCATGCACAAGGCCAAGGCAAGGCCAACAACACTATGTAGGACATGCCTGGCTTTCATCCACAGCACGAGTGCACTTTGTGTGCACTCTGCATTGTCAACTGCTCCATGCATGGAGTCACCACATCACCCAGCCACGCGCCCCCGCATCCGTGGCTGTTGCATGTATGCAAAATCTTTATTCCTGCACCCATCGCATACACACCTTTGTTTATATTCTGTATTTAGCAGTGTCACAGCTGTTATTGGTTCCCATCCAATTACAGGGGGAATGCACAGCTGTTATTGGTTTTCATAGTTGTTCTTTACGAATTACAGGGGAAAATGCTGGACCTTGTCTTTGTGGTGGACGATGCTGAAGTGTGGCACAGAAGCAATCTTGCCGTAAATTCTGATCATTATTCATTTGTGCAGTATCTTGGTTCAGATACTATTGCAAATATTCAAAGAGCTGGTGCCGGTGTTTACTACAACACACTAGTGCAGATAAACGAGCAGGTATGTCGTATGGCAGGTGAATGCATTAAGGGCTGTGACTACAAAACGTAACCCTGTCAGCTGTCCACATGATATGGACCAACATAATTCTAGAAACAACCATGTCTGTGGAAGCGTGTAAAATGCACACATGGTTGATATTTCTGCCACATTCATTAACCCTCGGCGCGCATGCGCAGCGAGGGTTACAGTAGTTGGGTTTGTCTGTCTGTGTGTCTGTTACTCTTCATCTCACTTCTCGAGTGTTCTTTCGTCTCACAATGGATACCACTTACTGAACGGGCAGTGAAGGTCAGAAATTTCGAACGGTTTTCTCTGAAAACGCACCGTTGCAAAGCTAGAGCGCTTCCACCATTGTACGGCTAATGCGCAGTCGGCCATTTTTATCGCTGCGGAAAATGTGCATGCGCTTATATTTAGCACAGGACCGGGTCTGCTTGCTCTGTGTATTTTGAAGGCACAAGAAGTCACAACGAAGGGCGTGTATCGACTCTCGCATGCTAATCTACTACTGTAGCCACACTCTCTGCGAGCTATATTATACTTGCGGGAGACCGCGCATGCACAGTTTGCCGAGGGTTTGCACTTCAGTGCTTTTCATTTGCTAATGTGTGACTTCGTTTTTTATTTGTCCTACCAATACACGACCCTCCGATAGCCCCGGCTTCCTCTCCTCATGTGCACAATTACCACTGACCTTAAGAAAAGTGTTCTGCATCTCGTCACCTAATCCAGTAAAAAGTGGACACCGCTCATACGCAACATAGTAGATGAGAGTTTTCTAGGAGCAGGCAGAGGATGCCCGACTGGCTAGAGGCGCCTTTCAACCATCTTGGCATAGATACAACACCACAATAACAACCTCTCAAGAAGATTTCACTTGTTGTGTTAGAGACTATGGAGACAGACGTACATTCTAGCGATTTCTCAATTGAGGGAGGGGTAGGCTCTTCTGGGGGACATAAGCCAGTTCAGTATGAGGGGAGGCAGGATTTGCGCCAGCTTGCACACACTTGCACATGCTGGTGCAGTTAAACAGACCACAAGGAGAGTGATGGCAAGCATTAACTACTGTTAACTCCAACTGTGTGTGCTCAAAGATAGGATTTGGGCGTTTGGGACTGGGCATAAGGCAAAAAAATTGACGTGCCTTTGGAGAAAGAATCCTTCTTTGTCTTTTACAGTGCTGCAATTAAAATTTGGATCCTATGATCTTGCCGAAGGTAGAAAAGCATATAAAATGCCACCAAATAAATGATCCCCCATCATGGCTAGGCCACTCAACATCTGTAGGACGCCATATGTGTTTAGGTGCCTTCACTGATCACAGACATGAACTGTAAAAGTACCAAACTCCCTAGTGGCCTCTGTCACAACATACCGCCTCCCCTCCCTTGACTAGAATGTCCTCCCTTTGGCCCACTGCAGAAGGAGGCTAAATACTGCAGGTCCGAAGCACATGTATAGGTTTTGTATGAAATAACTAGCAAGGGAATGCAGTGCATTTTCGGTGAGCGGGAGGGCCAAGTACCACAAGCAGGTTGCTTTCTACTACGTTTGTCTGTCCAGTCATGCGTGCCGGCAGTTAGGGAACAGCAAGCTGGAGGTGTTTAAAACCCTTTCGGTCCCAAACTTTACACACTTCTAGAAACGTCAACAAAACTCGCACAATTGTGAACTTTGACCCGGTAGGCGGGCAGCATGGCGACATTGTCTCGTAAACCACCCACGCATCCTCAGAAGTGGTCAGTCGGCACTTGGATGTGGCGGTCGGAGCTTTGATGTTGCTTTCATCTACCCTTTCAGTACTCTAAAAAAGCAAAAGGTCCGGATTTAGCGAGACATGTCATAAATGTCTGAGCAGGCTGAAAGGCAGGCACAGAGGCTGTGCGTAGGTCTGTAAGAAAGAAAGATCGTCACAGCACACGTGCGCGGGATGAAAGGGGTGTGTCAATTTGGGCAGAATGATGCACGGTGCAGGAAAAACGCCGATTGGGCACAGAAGCCGAATTCCTGACTGAAAGAGATACGTATACAAGAACACACTAAATTATAGACAAAGCCTATATATTAGCCACTTTTTCTCTTGTCTTCTGCTGGTCAAGCAACAGCTGTGTCTTTAGAAGTCTTCTTGATTGCTTATCGTTGATTAAAAGCCATCCACCTATCCACCCACTTGAGAACACCAGAGACCCTGTACACTAGTGCACTTGCGCTACGTATGTCACAACAAATTTAAAACTCCAACCTAGCTTAGCCCTCAAACTTAAACCAAGCCGACCTAGCTTACCCCTCAGGCCCAGATCTAACTGACCTAGCCTATACATTCAGTGCTCCTCACGACGAGACAGGAATCGTCATTTTTTTGTTTCTCAGGTGATTTTCTCAGTCATGCAGCATGCAATGCACACACACAGCATATCAACATGACCCCCGATCTCTGCTGATAAACTTGATACCAATCACATGATGTCGCCTTGACACTCATGCGACGCAGTGCATGATAAAAAGTTTAGTACAGCATGCGCAAAGTTCGGATTCGGACCATGCTAGGATTGTGTTGCGCAAACCTCTGATACTAGCTTTTGCGCAACAAATCATTGGATCACATTCCAGCTGTGCGAACCTCAGACTGTTCTTGTACAAACCTGGGCCCACGTGAAAAACGGGTCTCTCGCTCTATATAAAATGCACTCCGTTCGTTCTTCGTCGTCAGTGTATATGGTAAGCAAGTTTACTGGGTGTTTATGTTTACCATTTCTCTACCTGCTACAACTTTTAGGCCCACTGTACTACACAGACCTTTTTTTGTGTTTTTATGGTAAACTGAACAAAGAATATTTTGAAATACCGTGTATACACCTTGTAAAGCCATGGGTTAACCTATATACTTATATGTACCTCCTCCTCTGTTACAGTTACGCCAGACACAGTGTTACTAAACCGTTTTTTTGTTTTGTGCAGGTGTTGAAATATGGTGTGATAGGGATCAAAGATTTCATAGATGATTTAATTAGATGGAAATGGTTGTATATTAGTGGAAGACTTCATAAACCTGTAAGTCAAGCTTTCGTACTTCACAACTGTTCTATGCACGTAGCAGCATGTTATTGGAGGTATGCATGTGTTGTGTCGTAACCTCTTAGAGCTAAGTAATTTAAATCACGCAATCTGATTGGTTCGTGAGCGGACTCTAATTCGCGTAGAGTCCGGAATTAGGCTCCGTCATTTAGTCACCGTTTTAGTAAGCTACTCTCTGAATTTGAAAGTGGCAAGAGCAGTTCGCGTCTCTCCGTAGATATCGAAGCCTGTCGCCATTTCTCCAACGTGCGTTTAGCCATGCGTTGCCATCGCTCTTTGTAGGAGCAAAGTGGGAGTGGGAGTGGCCGGCAACTTGGCTGTTGGGCGGGGTCATGTGAGGACTCGTAGTCGTCACTCGCTGCTAGGAGAAGAGACACAGGCTCAGCCTCATCGTTGTCTGGTTCTTCAAGCCAGTCGCGGATAGTCTCTCCGAAGATATCGAAGCCTGTCGCCATTTCTCCAACGTGCGTTTTGTTTGAATGAACGCGTTACCATAGCTCTAAACCGGTTAGATGCCTCGTCACGGAAACTACGCGCATTAGAGTGCCTTGGGGGCCCTTTAGTAGGGGGCCCTTTAGTAGCGTCCTCGCTGCGCTCGAACGCCGACAGCTCAGGAACCCCGTAGTTTCCTGGACTGAGCATCTAACCTATATTTAGTGCCACAGTTTGCACCAGCCAAACACACACTAATAATATTAAAAATGCCCCAACCTGGAAAACCTGTCATGCACTATTCTCTAATATACATCTTGTCCAGTAGCAATATCACTTTCTTCTTCCACTCTTGCCATGAGCCTACCTCTCCTGATGCTATCAGTTGTTCATTAACCTCATTTGAAAATGTAGTACATTCATCTGCAAAGTTTGTGTACTTGCGCAATGTCCATTGGGACGGCAATGTTATGCCCCCTGATTTTCGAAGAGCATCATAACCTCCACCAGACAGATGGTGTAGATGCAAACACAATCTTTTAATTGAAAAACACTAAAAGTGCAAACCCTCGGCGTAAAAGGTGTGCAGCCACATTGTCTCCACTGGGAGTGAGGAAAATGTCTGCGAGATGTTGAGAGATAAGCTTGACTCTCACTAGGGGATTCTCAACTCGGGGTCTGGACCTAGGAGTCATAATTGTAACACTCGCTTTCTTCGCCGTGCGAATCAGAGTGTTCGGGGTTGCACTCCATTGATCGCGCCTTGCGGCATAGTTCAGCAGGGACTAAGTGACATGATTCGGAGACTCTCTTACTGTAGCATACACTGGTATTATAGACAGGAATGATGTATGTGATGGACATAACACAGCCACAATTTACAATCAGGTTAGTGTGTGAAACAGAGTAATGAATGTGACAAGTCAACTGTTTGGGGTCACTGTCTCCAGGGCTCTATGTCCAGATGTCTGGCTACAATATTCTCGTGACTCTGGGAGACTGTGGAGTTTCTAATTGGGCCAAACCAGCAGAAGACACAGGAGTAGATGTGAGATACTGTGGAGAGCTGTACCCAGCATCAGCGTGAGAGGAGAAGGATGACACAATGGGTGATGGATTTACACTCGGAATCTGAGATTCATCCGAGCTTTGAGGTGCAGAGGCAACTACAGATGACGTATTCAGACTACCAGTACCTGAAGAGGCAAAAGCTTTCAATGTCCAACATCAAAGCATGTTTCGCAAAATATGGGATTCACCCATTTGACCCTGATACCATAGACAAGAGCAAAATTTTGCCATCACTTCAGTTCCTCCACAGATGAGTGTACAGCAACTGCTTCAAGCACAATGCTCGTTCGAAAGGAGTCTTGACAACTCGAGCAAAGTCACGTTTTGAAATGACCAAGTCCCTCTTAGCAAATGACAAGGCTTTGCTAAAATGTGATTTCGGGGACATGAAACATCCAGTGGTTGAAGGGTATGTGTGGTGTGGGGTGGAAGACAAAATAGAACGATCTCATTCTATTTTAATACTGAAGAAAAATCTTTTTCATCCAGGCCACAAACAGCTCGCTATCAATCCATCCAGATTCGCTCTTTGCATACAACGCATCATCGGGACCGTCAAACTAGCAGGAAACGATTTAGCGAAGATAATCGTTGGTGGAAGAGCCACCCCAGCTGCAGAGGCACCACAGAGGAGAGTAATGTGCTCTGAAGTGCCCCTTGACTGGGCATACACAATGCTTCGCGTTCTTGCGGGCAGTCACCTTCTCGCACGAGGTGTTGAAGGGCAATTGTCCACAACATCCCTCGTCAGCGCATTTGCTCTACTGCATTCAAGATTGTCAGCTGTGCGAAGTGTGAGCTCAGGGGGATGTAAACGGAAATTCCTCCACCAGTGCTTCCCTGGGCCTGTTTCCTCATTGAAGCGTCCTTGTGTATGAGAATGGAGCGATATTGCCCAAGCGAAGCCCCTGGCCATATTCGACAGATACCAAAAGAAAGCATGTGCCCTGCTCCACTCGATGCGCATGCGTATAAAGCTGTAACTTTCCCGCAACGCCACAGATGGCGATGTTTGGTGCCGCCGAAAGATGGCGATAATAGGTGCATGTATGCTACGGTGCTGGTGCAGTGCATGGTGCACATAAGTATGTTACTATGAGTAGTGTGCCAAATAGGCTTTTGCTGTTACAAGAATATCTAGCGAAAGTATATAGTAATACGGTAGTAACACGCTAATGCTGGGCAGGTGCTATATACGTAGATGGAGTTAAGGAAGGGGGAGAGGATGTGGAGGGGTTAGTTCCGGGAACTGTTGGTTGTGGTGCTGCTGCAGCCTGTAGTGTGTGTGGTAATGAATAGGTTACTACTGTGGAGTTAACAATCATCCCTACGTACGTGTTTACCTCTGAGGCAATGCGAAGAACTGAGTAGTGTCATCCTTCACCTACACAAAAGTTTGCGATGCTCATCCAGCTCAGGTATGCTTGGCAGCTCACATTTTATACAAGCGGAATTTATAGCCCCAAAGACTCGGTGATGGCACAAGCAAGCTTTTGACGCAATTGACTCTCACCGGCAAGTGTTGCAACCACGAACCTTCCAGAGTCTCCCTGACTGCTGCCGTCTCTCCACTTCTGAACTAGCCACAAACCATCCCCATCTTCTGGTTTTCCTTGGCGGTGAAGATGTTCATGATGTCGGGCGGGCCGCACGTTGTGATGTACAGAGAGAGTTGCTTGTTTTTCGCTGTGTAGGTTGACTCGAGGATATTCCGTTTGAGGTCGTTTTGGAGCCCCAGGCCAAACCGTCAGTTGTACTCTTTCCATGCCACCTGCGCAGCAAACATGGTGCCGATGCCGCTGACGGCAAGAAAGACATTTTGATCATTTGCCTCAGGGAGACTGTGATGCCATGTACAGGTTTAGTCATAGTGAAGGCAGCCGGCCTGAATTTAGAGTTAGCAGACGAGAGGTGTGTGGGGAAAACATCCTAATGAGGGACGAAGTTTCACACGTGCGTGTAAGCAAAAAGTGCGGCCGTGCTGGGCAGCCATTTGCCGGATTTTCACCACGCATCGTTGCTAGCTAGGGGCAGCAGCTTTACAAAGTCATGCAAAAGTAACAAGTACAGCAAGATTTACCTGGTCCTGGTGCTTCTCTGGGGAGGCGAGCTGTATCAGACTCGGTGAATTGTTTTGTTTGACCACTGTCCCGCTACCCCCGATCCCCCGCTCCGCAGTGCAGTAGCACCCACAGGGTTTTACCGGATGTTAGATTTTCTGGTAACACGCATCGCACAGGAACATCCCCTACTCTCCCGTCCTACTTCCGATAGCTGTTCCCGCTCAACTGGAGGCGCACCATGGCTTCTGGAATGTGCCTGAATGTGAATGTGCCTGAAACAAATTGCAAACTGTAGAGCATTTGTGGGCCTTTAGTTTGTGTGTGCTAGGTCATCTTGGTTTCGGCCACAACATCATTCCCCTGGGACCTGACAGTATATTTCAAAATTGCGTAGTAAGGGTCGTTTTCTCAGAGCCTTTATAGTAACAAAATTATGCGGACCAGAATTTAAACCTTGTATGTAAAACTCACTCGATCCTTAAGCACGGGTGACAGGTCAAGGTCTCTCTGAGATGGATTAATGTCCTTCTTTGACCGACTCTCTGTTTCAGGGCTTTTAGAGTTGTGTACACAACTCTTGATAAAGGCTCAACTGTGGCTGGTGCAATCCCTCAGGCGAAGAAATTCTTCTACCAACCCCTCTCAAACCTCGAGATTTTCAGCACACATCATGCTAGACATAGGAGCACCACTTCTTTGCCTTTTTTGCCCATCTCCTTCCGTTGTGGCTAGTCTTTATCTCATTTCCATAATTTGTATTGGCTTGTTCTATATGATAACAGTCCTTCCACCACCATCAAGTATGTGGAGATATAGAAGCCTATATGAGCAGAAATCTCTTCACGTAATTATTCTGGACCTGTGGTACAACTCTTCTCCAAGAACTGAGCGACATCAGGCTGACAACTTTGCAGCAATTATGTAGACCTATGCATGGAGTCTTGAGCACACTAGTCAGAGCCCAGTCTAGTGTATAATCTGTCACCTAGGTAGGGAGCAGTGGGACAGTTTATAAGTACGGCAACTTATGCATCATCCTCATCCGAGGATTCAGAGAACCAACACTCCCTTCATCACTAACACAGCTTTTCCATATTCTCTCCTTTATTATTAACCCTCGGCGCGCATGCGCAGCGAGGGTTACGGTAGTTGTCCCGTAAGTGTGTCTGTCAGTCTGTCAGTCTGTCTGTTACCACATTTTCTGCCACCGCGCAACGAAATCAGGTAAATAGCGATATGATCGGGTTCAGTGCTACACTGGGTTGATGTTAAAAAAGGTGCTTTCGTAAAACTACTGTGTTTTAAAGTTATGGCGTGAAAACCAAGTGAACAAGCCAATATGTAAGTTAGCACAGGCTTACCTCGACCGCGTCTGTTCGCTCTGTGTGTCTTGAAGGCACAACAAGTCACAACGAAGGGCATGTATTCACTCCCGCATGCTATTTACTACTGTAGCTAGCCCGTGCCAGACTCTCCGCGAGCTACTAGCGGGATACCACGAGTAAAGGCATAAAAAGCCCAGCCCATCAATTAGTGGTATTCATCATGCACCAGTTCCTCCTCTTCTAGCTCTTTTAACACTTCTGAGGTTGGTTGGTTGGTTGCGCTTGCAGTATTACTGCAGTTCTTACACTTGCAACTGGGACCACACTTGTTTCCCTATTAACACATTTGTGTGTGGAGCTAACACACTCTTCCAGTTTGAAAATGTGATTCGTCACAGGTGCTTAGTAGCAATGTTGGAGTAATATCATGGACCTTTTCGTTTAGGTAAGAGGCAACCTGTTGAAGCTGGTATGAGCAGTCTTACTTGTTACCCCAAGGCATGGGACAATGTCACATATGGATCACATTTTTAGCACTACAGCAACCTACCAATTCTCTTATACAGATATGAAGAGGGAATAAATCTCCAAAAATCTTTTCCTACACACAAATGTACTCTTTAACAGGATGGCCTGGTTGTCTCATAACAAAATAACACGAGAAAGCACTGTCAGTTTGAAGTATATTTATAGCCATCATCCATTTTTGTAGTGTGAGGATATCTTATTGACTTCGTTACTAACATGTCCACAAACCTGTAGACTCCAGAACTACCTGTGCCCAAAAAAACCCGGCGTTCCCCTTCACAAACTTCATACGTATCTCCCTCTTATGAATTTGAGTCCTTGGGACTACAGACTACCGGCAATTTTTGTTTCGAAGCCATTTGGGTTTCCTGTGTATGGACTGAAGTTGGTCTGTATGTACGTAAGTGCTTAGCTTTATTCCCATTGATGAGTCAGGGGACACATCTGAAGTGAGTACGAGCATGTTCAATGTTTGCTATGCTCAAATCTCTCACCATAAGGATTGGTTTTGGCATAGATGTTTGAAAGACAACCAGGGTAACCGAGTCACTCTAGCCGTTATTGATGAGATTAAGCGTAGTTAAAGCTAGTATAGTGATACTGGGTCTAGCTTTTAAGTTAACACATTTTGGTGAGGCATGTTGCCGGCCCCTCCGTCTTGTGCTCGGCAACGGAACCCCTAGCGATTCGCACTCCTGGCGAAGAATATCAAGTGCGACTGCCCATTGCTCAGATCCCAGGGCCCCTACCACGACGAAATCATCGAGTGATAAATGTAACTGACCCCCTTTTGGCAAACATGCCATTCGAGGGCATCTGCCACCGCCGTGAAAATCTTTGGGGCAGACCGCAACCCAAAGGGCAGCATGGGGTCGATATACACCTTGCCATTCCATCCCACGGCTTGCAGGGGACGGTCCTGCGGGTGAACGGGAATGATCCTCTAAGCGGACTCTATGTCGGTCTTCGCGAGGAGGGCACCCCTCCCTAGACCCGCTGCTACCCCTGCAACTAGCTCGACCGACGTGTAGGACAGGGAACAGAGGGCAGGGTTGATCCCATCATTGACACTGACATCGGGTGGGAAAGAGAGATCGGTAATGAGACGCCATTTGCCCGTATTCACCCCTTTTGGGATCACCCCAAAACGGTTGATGTCTACTCTATAGCGCTACCCTTGAAATACAGGAGATGAATATACTTTCATTTCCCATCGTCACATGTTACATGTATATACACATAATATTACAGTGAGGGAGGGATGGGGTCTGGAGACTGATACATGCATAATAACTGCTATACAGTTCTGCAGAGAACCCTGAGCAGGGGCTTGACCAGCGTCGTTCACGCAGCTGACGGCTTTGGTTCAGCGTCTCTGACCTGTCGGGTAGGGCTGGTGGCCGGGAAACGCTTTGCCCCAAGTTCCGTTGTGGTTCCTAACCGGCGCGCCCGTCGCCGGTGCTGACTCTCGACGTGGGAAGAACACGGCCGGATGCGAGCCGAAGCAATCCTGGCATATGTGCATAAACCAGCATCTCGAGAAGCGACACCGATTGTCGTTGTAGTTGCCGGCTGCGTGTGACACCCCAACATTTGCTGTTGGACAGGGACGTGGAGCTGCCGCAGGTCGGGGAGCCAACTCCAAACGAGAGGGGCTGGATTGTGTTGGCAAGTCGCCCCACCATGGTCGTCGCCCAGGCAGTGCGGGCACCGCGGGACCACCTTGGCCCTACCAGTGAACACCTCATTGTAGAGCCTGCTGTTCGGCGTGGACCAGTTCAGGTCTTTGCGGGCCAGCATGTCCCTCCGATATTGTTGGTCGTAGGCGACCCAGTTTGCCCCTTCGTAATTGTGGGCCGCCCTCAATATCGTACTCTGATACACCCAGAGCTCTGGGGCTTTGTCCAGGAACCTCGTAGATATGAGGGGGGCCATCCTCCCGTAGCATTCGAGCCAAATCTTCATGTCCGTCACCGGCGGCTTGGAGGCGTTTAACCGACAAATTGGGTTGGGCTCCGTCGCCGAGGGCTCGTCCACCCATATATTGGCCTTCAGCTCGGCCATCTCCATGAACTCCAAGTCCAACACCCTTTTCACCACCTTAGGTGGCAACGACACCGCCGGGTTGTACGGCCCGGGAACCGAAATCGACGAGGCGGACGCCCGAGATGTGGCCGACGCCGCTATCCAACCCCGACGAAAGAGGCCCGAATGCCGACCGTGACAGCTACCCCAGCGAAAAAACGGGCAATGGTGGCAGAGTCGATGTGCCTAGCCCGGGCCCCAATGGCAGTACAGCGGTACCTGTGGGATTATAGATACCATTTACTTACAGCCTAACAAGGGAACCCCTGCACTGTGCAGTGGGAACCCTGCAAACCCCGGGCGGGCAGCGTGCCCGAATGCACTATCCCTGGCGGCCCCCCGCCCCCCTCTTGTCCCACTAAGAAAACTCACAGGTGGCGGTACTGGTCGAAGTGCCCGGCACTGCCGCCGGCACCACCGCCGGCCCTGACCTCTCCGTGACTGACGAGGATGCTGCTGGTGGAGTTGTCACGGCGGGCGGCCCACTAAGGTCGACCCCCCTACCAGCCAGGTAGGCGAGCTTGATGAAAAGGGACTGGTGAGTGACGTACGGACGCCACTTGCAGACAGTGGGGAAAATTAAAGGTTGGTTTGAGACCAGAGCGTGAAACTGCTGTTGCACCGTTCGCGTTTATTCTCTGAAATCTTACCTGGTTTTTGAGATACACTTGTTGAAACTGAACAACAACAACAACAAAAAGAAAATTGAAAACTGACTTTTTGAATAAATCAAGTACCAATTATGGTTGAAACAGAACAACAACAACAACAAGAAAATTGAAAAGGGACTCTTTTGAATAATGCGATTTAAGCTATTTCTTGGATACATGCTCTTTGTGACGCTACAAATTAGTCTGATGTGTCAAAAGTTGGGTCTGATTGAAATCGACGAGGTGGACGCTCGAGATGTGGCCGATGCTGCTGCAGCCAGTATATCCAACCCCGACGAAGGAGGCCCGAATGCCGACAGTGACAGCGACGCATGTGGTAGTCTTAGGAGCAATTTCTTAGTTGCCCTGCAGGAGAGCTTGGGGATGATGAGTTTGAGCATTTCCAGTTGCTTGATAGTTTCAGAAAAGCAACCTTTATATTGGGTAGTCAGCTGTGGAAGGATAAATTTGGTTCTTTCCTTGGCCTTGTTAAAGGTTTTATTTTGGATGTTTGGGAGCTAAGAAAGGTTAGGTTATACGGCGGTAGTCCCCGCGTACAACAAACCCAGTCTCAGATTGCGTCTGGGGAGCTGCAGGGTGTCGCTGGTGGAAGGGGTGAGTTGAGGTGTCTGTGGGAGGTGAGACAGACACCTCATGTTCATATGGTGTATGTTCGTTTGTTAACGGTTCCGCCCATTACTCTGGGTGCGTGGTCTATGGCCCTAGTGCTGTGGCAGCCACCTGAGTGTTGTTATTACTACTACATGTTCTCCATTGGCATGCTTGCTTAATCATTCCAACTCGTTAACCCTCGGCGGCGCGCATGCGCAGCGAGGGTTGCGGTAGTCGTTCTGTGTGTGTGTCTGTCTGTCTGTTACCACGTTTTCTACCACCACGCGCAACCAACAGGCCAAAAAGCGACACCAACGGGTTCAACGCTACACTGGCTTCATTTTAAAACTGGCGATTTTCGTAAAACTACCGCGTTCAAAAGTTATGGCATGAAAAAGCCAATATGCTAATGAGTACCATGACCATGGCTTATCTCGACCGCTTTTTCCGTCAGGCACATTGCGGAGGATATAACGAGAATACCGAACGCTGCCTACGGTTCCAGCTAGGCAGCATGAGCAATGCACGATCGACGGGTGGTGAGCGAGCCGGCGGTTAGTGCGAGTGAGGAGGCAGAGGACCGGGAGAGAGCAAGACATGACAATGCGCATGTGCTTATCATAGTGCGCCACGAACCGCGTGCGTGATGAATGCGCGCGTGTGCGGATCAAATTATTTATTATAATCGCTCATCACAAACCAACGGCCTGTCCACATGACGTATAAACCCGGACCACACATATTATGTTTGAGCAAACGTGTATTGGCGTCATAGCCCCACTGTGGGACTCCACGCCGAGGGTTTAGCACTTCAGTGCCTTTCATTCCAATGGTGGGGAGTCTCCATTTGTATCTATCCTGCACATTCATACTGTAAAAATATTACACCTCCTGCTATGCGCTTTACGTAACCATGTGAAAACAAGCTTTGAAGTCAAAGTAAGTGATAATTATCAACTGGAGCACAGTGACCGTTGTCCTTTTCTGTTAACCTGTCACTATCACAACTGCAACTTCTTATGGGGAAGAAATATATTACTTACACACTGGTTCGGGGTTGACTCATAATTATCACCAACAGCTGTATGGTTGTCTTAATTGTGGCCCCCTTTAATGTAACGTGTGTGTACATGTCCTTGTTCTTTTAAAGGTTTTGTTCCTGACAGATGTGGAAAGGGAACCCACCCTCACCGAGGCATTGAAATCAAACATTGTATCAGCTGCTTGTTGTGCTACTTTGTTGATGGAAGACAATGTCCATTTTACACCCGTGGAATTTTTTAATCAAGTTGCTGGCCTCTCATACAAAGGTACGTACATAATACATGATGCCATTGGTGTTGTGATGGCACAGTCCGCAGACTGAGGGTTATGTGTAGGATGTCCATGGATCCAAGATACATGTGGGTGGCAGGGACTAGGGGCTAGAAATATAGATTGAGCTTAGGTCATAAACCATAGTGTGCTCTAGGTTCAAAAGATTTACTTCAAAGTTAGCAAATTATGCATTAGGGAGAGAGCAACCATATGTTTCAGTGTCGGCCTCCTTGCAGAGCAGAATGAAGGCAGGATGATGGTTGTGTAGTGCATAGTATAGTAATGACCACCGAGGGTTTGCACTTTTAGTGCTTTTCATTTTTACAGGAGATTTTCGGATGTTTGTTGGAGAGGATAAGGAGAAAGTTATCAATATAGTCAGAGGAAGCCTATTAGAATTTCAAGATTTGTATTCCTCAGTTCTTCCTGAATTTGTGGACTTTCTGCCGGACAATCTGATGATGAAGGTATTGTAAGTAAGGGGATCGTGCATTACAGGAAGGCATACGTACGTACAAATGGATTCATAAGCATGAGTTGATTGTGTTACTGCACACAACTTTTGCTTTCCCTGATGTTAGTTTGGTGAAAGCTGCAAGAAGCCAAAACATAATGATTCTCACACAGTAACTTTTTACGAGACCAGGATTGTTATTGCTGCTTAAATATCGTAATTGGTTGGGTTTAGGATTAGGACGTTGTTTAGGAACATTTTAAAGAGCTGGGCTGTTACTCATAGCATAAAGCTATCATTACGTGACCGGTGCATGCTGAAATGTGTTGCAAAAAAGCAAGGAGACAAGACAGGCAAGTCCTTCCTAAAATTCTGTTCGCAATAACCTTGCACTCTGGGAAATACGCCATAACTTCGCTAAACTACGGCCAAAACCGGATATTCTAAGTGCAATGCGCTCATCATGAGCCTGCATAGGTTTTGAAGATACAACCCACTTTTACGTGCGACGTTTGCTAACAAAGTTACCTGTATGCCTCTTATATGTAGAAAGCATGGACGTTCCAGTGCCCACAAGGAACGCAATCGTGCGTACCGTTACACGTGCCGAGTCGGGGTATGCAGCGAGTGGGCTGTGTTCAAACAATCGACGTACAACTTCACAGTCGGGTCGCCTATACCCACCCACAGGTATCTTAGATCCATGACATAACCCTCGCTCGACTGAGCCAAACTTGTGCTACGTACCACGCTCGGATCGCTGTATTTTGAGGCGGTACTACCCGCGCGCCCATTAGCCACTAACATGTGGTATACTCATTATGAGCGTACAGTTTTGACAGTAGTACTTCCAGGTTCAAAGTGTACACGAACGGCTTTGCTAGAGTTAGAAAGTGAGCGACTTTGTGGAAGGGCTAATTTTCGGCCAATTCATTGTATGTGTTCACCCAATGGTTTATTAATTTTCACTGCAGAAGAAGAATGTAACACTGGAATCATTTGAAAGCTACATACCTGAAGCAATTAAACAGACCATCATGCAAGGAAAGTCATTGCGATCGGGTAAATAATGTCATCCACTTGGATCTCAAGTATTGTTTGCTATTTCTTAGCATTATCTACCATTGTCCAGAAAAGCAGCGTACAGCAAAGTTTAAAAGGTGTTGTAACAGCAGGTTGGTAATAGTTATGCACTTCACACCTGGCCTACCTACAAATATCACAGTATTGGTTGCAGGGTCCCACTGATTTTCTTTCTTTCCTATTTCCTTTCACTTGACTTAACACACACTTTACCATTCTTTCAGTCTACCAGGCGTGAGATCGGAAAGCGATTAATTAACCTGATGAAGAAAGCTTTATACCTGTTTCAGCGCTTACATACATTAAATTCTTGGTTGCAGACTAACATATGGCACCTAAACTTTGCTGCTCGCCATAAAACATCAGTATGACAAACTGTTCCACAAAACATTGCTTGTACAACTCGCAGTACATTGAGCTGCTATTGCAATGGAGATCCTGAAAGCTAAGTAGAGCTTCCAGCAAGTTGATTAAGCTTTGCTATCTCCAGCTACATTCTGCTGACCAATCTTTTACGTCACACACTGTGTATACTCTTGCCGTATTCCGTGTAACAGAATCCTTCGCATCGCTTTTCAGGCACTCGGCAATGTACATATCAACCTATCTCTCACTCACTCTTAGAAGCGAGTGTGCTGTTGCAGAAAAAATCCCCAACGACTGGAGCACCACCTCTGCCAGGGCTCATGTCTGTCTTAGTGGCCACCCCCATAATGAACTGCTTAGCAGACCATAAATTCTTGACAACGTTGTGGAACAGTCGATGGATATGTGGATGGTGCTCCAAATTTTCCCATTGTACCCGAGTGTTGCGGTAAAGTACTTAGTATACAAGTAAATAAAAAATTCTGTGAATTAAAAAAGTGTGGAATATAGGGATGCCATAAAAAGCAAGGAGACAAGACAGGGATGACCTGGGCATGTGATGCAGTAGTACAATGGGATGATTGTAACATCTTCAAACTGACATTTCGTGCTCATGTACATTTTACTCCACACAAGCCCTATATTGTCGCCACTCTTACTCATGACATGAGTTTTGAATAGTGTAGTGTGAAGACTGGCAAACGAATTCTGTCGGGAAAGCAGCATTGTAAACCGGTTAGGTGAGCAAACATTGAAGTAAACACAGTCACGATTCAAAACTAAGGACCTGTCAGAGAGGGCATTTGCTACCAGTCTTACGTGCATAGGAAACGAGTCATAGCTGCACATCATACGAAAGAGATCACTCGTGCTTTGAAACAATATAGGGCTTGTGTGGAGATGAGCAAGAAATGTCAGTTTGAAGATGTAACGATCATCCCATTGTACTACTGCCCAAGTCATCCCTGTCTTGTCTCCTTGCTTTTTATGGCATCCCTATATTCCACACTTTTTTTATTTGCAGAATTTTTTATTTACTTGTCTCCTTTCCTTTTTTACGACATGCACATGCATGGGGCATAATGTCCATATAAAAAGTAACATGTATTTATTGCTCACAAATGGTAGGAGCTATGTGAACAAAACTTTGTAGACATAATGTATTCAATCACCAATAGATGGTTTGGAAAGCCTCGTGAGAATCAGAGTAGTCGTAGAGGGGAAGGAGGGGTTGGGTTCTTGGTTCGGGAGTGCTTGATTGACGAGGTAGAGTAAAGTCAGGTATGAGAGAGTGTGTGGATGAAGGTTCGAGTGGAGAGAGGGGGGGGAAGCGAGAAAGGTGGAAGAGAGAAATGGAATAGGAGAGAACTCTGTATGTTGGATGGTAGCGTGCGTTTTAGTGTGCACTCCTGTCTTTGCCTCTTTTACAGCGCATCCAGTGGCTTTCTGTTCGCTTTGTTATTCAGAGAGTACTTTTTCTCCCTTCTGTCTCTCGTCCTCACTTTACGTTGAAGGGAGGAAGCATTGTATGTGTCTTCTTTTACTGCCTACAGATAGGCTTGTGCTTCTGTTTATGATGGATAGTTACGCAAGTTGAAGGAGGAATTTGCTTGATTCCTGCGAAGGGGAGGTTGTTTCGTCTTCTGGTGTTTTAATAGATGCGAGGGTGGGTAGACTCTACTGATGTTGATGATGTCATTGGGAGATGTTTGGGGAGGGAGACGTTGTAATGCCAGTGGAATATGGGCTGATTTCATTCTGATGAGGTGGTGGAGCTGGTGATATGTATGGTAGGAAGTTAGTGTCAGAGCCTGAGTGGACTAGAGTAAGGCCGAGCCTGCAGCAGAAATCCGTGATAGATTATATAGTTACGGATATGCAGTTGATGAAGGAATCTGAGATGTACAGGTTAATATAACTGATATTGGTGCCTCGGATCATTTTCTAGTGTGGCGAGTTGGGCCGGGTTACAAGTGTTGTAAAAGGCAGAAGCAGACAATAGGAAGTGGCGTGTAGACAGATTTCGGATGAGGGGTTAGAGCAAAGTATAGTGAGGCCTTGAAAGCGGAGGTTGAATCATTTTCAGAGAGCATCAGGGAGAAAGTGAGTGAGGGTATTAGCGGAAGTGGGTTAGTCAGTGCTGTTGTAGAGGAGTGAGAGCAGGTTGTAAAAAAGGTGGCAAGGGCTGAGGTAGGAGAGAAGGTAGTAGCGTGTGGCAGGGCAGTCAGGTGGTGGGATGACGAGATTAAGCAGAAGATGGAGCAGAGAAGGGAGGCTTACAAGAAAATTCTTGAGGGTCAGGATTATCTATGGGAGGAATATAGTAAACTGCGTAGGAAGGTGAAGAATTTAGTACTTCAGAAGAAGCTTGAGGTTTGGAATGAGGTAGTGGAAAGAGCAAATTCAGGAAAGAATTTTGGGCATTTGTTGGTAGAAGGACAAAGGGTAAGATGAGGGGGATTACAGCTTTGAGGAATAGTGCTGGGGTGTTAGTACAAAGGGCAACCTAGAGGTGTTAAAGAGGCATTATCAGCAGTTGGGCACTTGTAGTGTTGATACAGCCTTTGATGGTAGTTGGAAAGAGGAAGTGGATGAGAAAGTGTGTGAATTTCCAACAGATTGTGTGGGAAATGTGTTGGATACGAAATAGATTTGAAGGAAATTGCATTGTGTGTTAGAAAGATGAAGAATGGTGGTAGTGATGGGCTTGTGGGGGAGCTTCTAAAGTATGGTGGGTCAGGGATGGTAGAGTTACTTAAACAGTTGTTTACAGTTATTTGGCGTGAGGAGTTTGTGCCACCACAGTGGAGGGAGGCCTCATAGTTAACCTGTTAAAGAAGGAGGATCCTGGGAATTATAGGGGCATCACTCTGTTGAGTGTGGTTGGGAAGGTCTTTTGTAAGGTATTGAAGAATAGGTTGGTGAAGCATCTGGACGAGGGCAAGGCATTGCATGAGGGCCAGGCTGGTTTTAGGGTTGGAAGGGGTTGTGTTGATAATATTTATACGCTGAATGAACTCGTGCAGTGTAGACTAAAGGAGGGGAAGGAGACATACGCATTCTTTGTAGATGTGCAGAAGGCATACGATGTGTGGCGTAATGGCCTGTGGTTTAAGTTGTGGGAATTTGGGGTAAGAGGGAAGATGTGGAGGGTCATAAACAAGATGTACGAGTATTCAAAGAGTGCAGTATTGTTGGATGGGAAACAGTCAGAGCCATTTGATGTGGAACAGGGGGTAGCTCAGGGATGTAGCTTATCTCCAATTTTGTTTTCCGTATTTATCAATGGGTTGTTGAGGGAGGTGGAGGAAGCTGAGATTGGGAATTGATTTAAGTAGTGGTGGGAGACTTGGAGGCCTTTTGTTTGCAGATGACTTCGTTGGTGTTAGTGAGTCTAAGGATCAGTTACAGACGCTTATAGATGTGGTGCATGCTTACTGTCGGAAATGGAGGCTAAAGGCTAATGTGAGTAAGAGTGCAGTGATGGTGTTCGCTAGGGAGTCAGTGGATGGTGCTTGGAAATGGGGGGAGTATGTTTTGCCTAAATACACATACTTGGGTGTTGATTTTACTAGTACTGGTGCATGCGATGTGCATATCAAGAATGTGTTAGACAATGGTAGAAGGAAGGTTAATCAGTTGCATAGTGTAATTAGTAATAGGGATATTAATTTGAGTGCTCGCAGGTTGTTGTTGCTGGCGGTGGTTAGGCCAACTTTAGAGTATGGGAGTGAGGTGTGGGAAGCCAATAAGACTCAGGCAGCTGCGTTAGAGTCTGTGATGCTGAGAGGAGCTAAGCATATCCTTGGGTGTTCGTCTAAGACATGTAATGAAGCCGTTAGGGGGGATATGGGGCTTGATACGTTACAAGGGCGTAGGGATAAGAATAAGTTGAAGTGGTGGTATAAGTTAGCGGCATTGCCAGGCAATAGGTATCCGAAGAAGCTTTTTAACCAGGAAAGGAATTTTAAGCCACGGAGAGGCAGGCAGAGGAAGTGTTGGAGTAAGGTCATTGATGATCTCTTTTCGTCATTAGGTCTTGACAAGGCAGAGTGGTTGCATGATATTCAAAATGGGGATTACTCCTTCAAGGGCTTTCTGTCTATAGTAGGGGACAGTATTAATGGGAAAGTTTGAAGAGGGGCTAAATAGCAAAGTAAAGCTGCTGTTGTATAAGATTTAACAGGTGGTAAAGTTCAAAAAGTACTTGCATGGGAAAAGTGATGCTGGGTCTAGATTAATGTTTAAGTTCAGGTCAGGCACGCATGGGCTAAATGAGGAACTGGGTAGGCATAGGGGGAGGGAGGGTATGAAGGAGTGCCTGTTGTGTGATGATGAGTGTGAAAGTGTGAGTCATGTGTTGTGGGAGTGTCCAGCATAATTATAGTAGTCTTAGGAGCAATTTCTTGTTGCCCTGCAGGGGAAGCTTGGGGATGATGGGTTTGAGCATTTCCAGTCGCTTGATAGTTTCAGGAAAGCATCCTTTATATTGGGTAGTGAGCTGTGCGGAGGATGTTTGGGAGCTGGGTTATACGGCGATAATTCCCGCGTACAACAGACCCAGTCTCAGAGGAGCTGCAATCTCCATGTGTGCTGCAGTTAGCAAGTTTGAGGAGTGAAGAAGTAATTTTAAAGAAAAGTGCCTGAGGTTATTTGTTGTTGTGGTCGTCATGGAAACGACGTTACACACATGCGTACAAAGTTCCATCTCCATGTGCGGTACCGTTAGTGAGTTTGAGGAGTGAAGAAGTAATTTTAAAGAAAAGTGCCTGAGGCTATTTGTTGTTGTGGTCGTCATGGAAACGATGTAATACACATGTGCACCAAGTTTCATCTCCATGCTAGCAAGTTTGAGGAGTGAAGAAGTAATTTAAAGAAAGTTGCCTGAGGCCTTTTCGAACAATATGCGGCCGTCATGGAAACATGTAATCATGATGAAAATGATATAATAGGCATACTTACCAAGTTTCATCTCTGTGTGTGCTACCATTGGAGAGTTTGAGGAGTGAAGAAGTAAACTTAAATAAAAGTGCCTAAGGCTATTTGTTGTTGTTTACAATAATAATAATAATAATACTCAGGTGGCTGCCATAGCACTAGGGCCATAGACCATGCACCCAGCACCCAGAGCAATGGGCGGAACCGTTAACAAACGAACATACACCATATGAACATGAGGTGTCTGTTCACCTCCAAGACACCTCAACTCACCCTTCCACCAGCCACACATGAAACATGGTATGCATACCATGACGACAACAGCCATTTTTCTCTATTATTAATTATTATACGGGCTTGCCCCCTTCCCCAGAGATAATACGTATAGGTTAGATGCTGAGCCGCAGGAACTACGCGATTTAGTGAGCCGAGGGCCCTGGGCTTATTGTTGCCTAGGTGAAGTATTAAACATTCACCATTACAATACAATACTCAGAACTTAGAATACACATCCCTATCTTGTCTCCTTTTCTTTTATACCATCCCTATAATTTATGCCTCTTTTTTAAATTCGCAGGATTTCATGTTTCACTTTCAGTTTCAATCAGATCCAACTTTGTGACACATCAGGACTAATCCGTATCGTCACAAAGAGCATTTATCAAAGAAATAGCTTAAATCACATAATCTCTACTTGATTTATACAAAAAGTCAGTTTTCAATTTCCTTCTCCTTCTCGTTGTTGTTGTTGTTGTTCAGTTTAGACAGGCGTATCTAAAAAACAACTTAAGATAATTATGCACATGAAACTTTGCACAACGATTGGAATCCGTGACCCGGCGTGCAGAGAGCATTTTACAATTAATTACATGTAAACGACCAAAAAACCATAGCCCAGCCATACATTATGATATAGACCAAAAAGGGTGCTAACTAGGTAGAGTCAGAATACCCACGAATGATAAACTTTGTACACAAATGCACCCTCATTAGTATCAAAATATTCAGTTCAAAAACAGCTCAGCAATAAAAACATATGTTTGTGCCTATAACTAGCTTATGGTGGGTCCTTGAAACATGACACAAAACTGGTACACTGACGTACCATGAGGAGAGTCGATTGACAAGTTGGTAAACAACAACACAGGCCTAGGCCATAAATCTAATGTTGTGTGCTATACTTGCATATTATGGATCCTCTAACAACGCCACTTGGTACCCTGATGTACCATGATGAGCAGTTCATCGAAACATAAATACAGTTTGTGAACACCAACAAACAGCCTCAGGCAATTAAGTGCTGTTTTTCTAAAGTATACACTTATATACTTGGAAGTGAAATAAAATGTCGATGACGACTAAGAGTTCGAGGCAATAAATACATGTTACTTGTTTATATGCGGACATTATGCCCAATGCATGTGCATGTCGTAAACAAAGAAAAGGAGACAAGGATAATACAATTGCTGGTCTGATTAAAAAACGTGGGAATATAGTGATGCAATAAAAGGCAAGGAGACAAGACCGGGATAGACCTGGGCATGTGATGCCGTAGTACAATGGGATGATTGTACATCGTCAAACTGATATTATTTTCTTGCTCACGTAAATTTTACGACGGCGATATGGTTATCAAAGCACGAGTGCTGATCTCTTTACGGTTGAGGATGTGGCGCGATAGGGACAGTCGTCCTCGAGCACCGAAGAAGTTTCTCTCGGTAGTCAAAGGCCCTCACTGACAGTCCTCAGTTGAATCGTGACTGTGTTTACTACTTCATGTTTCACGTCAACATAACCGGTTTACCATGCTGCTTTCCCCTACAGCCTATCGTGTGCCTCAGTGTTCACACCTACCGTATTCAAAACTCATGTCATGAGTAAGAGGGCAAAAACAATATAGGGCGTGTGTGTATCATGAGCAAGAAATTGTCCGTTTGACGACGTATCATCCCATGTAATACGTACTGCATCACAGGCCCCGCTCCATCCCGGTCTTGTTTCTCCTTGGTTTTTATGGCAAGCCTCATATATCCACACTGACTATTATTTATGACTCCTACTCTAGTATTTTTTAATGGAGGACAAGTATAGGGAGGGGATAATGAAGCCGGTGTTTTCGACGAACAGATTGTGAGCACGCTAAACGCAAACACCTCCAAACAACATCACGCGAATCGGAAAAAGAATACCTATATTTTGCTCTGTTTCACCACACAGACCTATAGCTTGTAAGACGGCGAAGAAAACAAACACGGTATTATAACAGCACTGCTGAGTAAGCCGTAACAGAGTCCAATTTGAGAGTTTTTAACGAGTGGCACAACACGGTGTAATGGTTTGGAGGTGTTCGTGTGCTTCGCTCTGTTTTCGTACAACTGTGCATCAGATATCCCTATCTTGTCCCATCTTTTTAGCCATCACATTTTATTGTGTTTATTTCCCAGGATTGTTTCAGGATGACACACTTTCATACAGTGCAAACGGTGAGCATTAGGTTTCGTGCAAATTCACGTGAAGAACATAGTATTCTCACAGCACCGGAACGCATTGACGGTAGGCATTCCTCTGCGAAATACTATGCAGTATGAAAAATGCACTTAGATGTTTCTGGCAAGAGAGTCGAACTCTTTTCGATGGATTATATGTGGTTTTTCCCTTCTGCTCTGTGTGAGTCCACTTGCGTACGGCGATGCGTGACTTACGCTGACATACATGTAATGAATGCATGTAAACCAGTGCAAATAGCAAATAGAACACACAAGGAAACAAAGAGGAAGGGTACATTTAACTTCTGAAGCATTACGGATGGTTTCTACCTAGTCGTCACTACTTAATGTGATTGCCTCTGTTTTTCGGAAAATGAGGAGTTGAAAATAAGAGAAAACTCGCTTCAGCAGCAGCAGACGATGGTTGAAGAAGCACACTTTGTTTTTATCTGCAGTGACCACTTTGGAAGGCCATCTCAGTTGATCTCCCCACTCACTGCTGAAAATTTCTTCTGCACGACAATCAACACTTCGCTATATAAAGCATAGGTTCCTGCTTAAACCATCCAATATCTCTCCTGATTAAATTAAGGGAATAATAGCTAGTGAATCAACTGCCGATTGTTCACTGGTTGCATCGCCTCCAACTTAACGTATAGGTGGGTTTAAAGTAAAGCAGCTTTGAAAGCTGTTGATAATCAGTAGATTTTGGACTAAGTTGTGTTTTGAAATATCAAGGCCAGGCTGTATAATCTCTGGGATATGCCTTAAGGTTGAGCTTGTCCCTTGAGGCCCCTGTTGTACAGCGTTCTCGGAGATCAGCGTCTATAGTAGGTTTGTTCCCTGTCTGAATCACGCCTTAACTTCTCAATTTTCATAGCTGTTTTCTAACACTAATGCTCCGTCACCTTCAAGGTTGTATTTAGCAGTGACAAAGGCCTTCCGAAGTCATTACCACTGGCAAACTCAATCTTGAGATAGTCTTCTTGTGATGAATGTCAGAGATTGTTCTCAGACTCGTCACCACGATTCTGGCGATCCTACTTCATCTTTGCAGAAATGGATCTACAATCTCCTTATTGCATCCTCAACGGTGTTTCCATACCTCCGCGGCTCCACCACCTGGTTGCACTATTGCTGTCAAACGAGTCCTTGTTTTTTAAGGCTATTGAAAAGAGACTAATCCAGGCTGAAAGGAGTCTTTCAAGCACGGTGTTTTGAAATTTCTCTCGCACACATCTACTTGTGGAGAAGCATCCCATATCACAACACAATTTAGGGTAGAGAACCTTCATGTTCTCACTGCAACTTGTTGGTTGCAGTGCGATCTCTCATACATGTGAGGAGGGCTGGGGGGAGTTTGCGTGGGAGTCAATAGAGAGGGGGGGGTATTACTTCTCGGCGCTGTATATCTTCTCCTTCGCCCGTTAGCCTTTCTTGAAGCCTTTTGAGGGAAATTAGTCGTTGCTTGATTTGCCCAGTCGTTAGAAATGGTTCTTGATTTGAAACTTAAAAAAGCCCACATGGCCTATCCATTCACATGTTTCCATCAAGCTAATCATACTTTGACACCCACTAAGCTCTGAACAATATGTGTTTTTTTCCTGTTTTTTTGCACTAAGTCAGACAGAGGTGTCCTGTCTCCAAGTCGGTAAACACCTCGAATAGTTCTCGAAAGGGGCTAAAACCAATTTTGGCCCAAGGGGAAAAGCAAGATTGTAAGAACACAGTTTTTACAACTCTAACCCTACAATACTTGTTGATATACCTCGTTAAATTTTGCCCCTACGCGGTGATCAGTAGAGTTTCAACCAATAGCAATATCTTTCTCTCTAGCTCTTCTTTTCATGCTCACTTCTTGGTCATCAACATGCTTCGTCGATCCATAGATTCTTGACTGCTTACTTTTACGTGAGTCTTCCTAATGCACTCGACACAACAAGTTTCTCACCAGAATTCCATTCACCCTTTGCAGAGGGGGTAACTTGTCTTTGCTCCGAACTTTGTGGACGAGGATGATGTCGACGATCGTCTGCGTTTAACCGTCCACGACCTGCTACATTAGGGGTAAAAAGTTTCGCAGACAGTAGCTGCACAAACATATTTTTTAAATTGTAGTATGTTAACCAGGTGTGGCTTTGGTTGTGGACCTGCATGCTACATTATTTACCATCCTAAGGTGGTTTATATGACATTTTTGTTTGGGTAGAGTTGGTCAATGTCTCCTGCACTCGTGACGGTCTTTGTTGTGACCCTCACATCACCTTCATGAGTTGCAATCTCGGTAATATCTGTTGAACCTGTGGATGTGTTTTGAGCAGGCATGTGAAGTGTCTTGTGTCATGCATGTGGCTTTCAAAACCAACACACACACACCACCTGCTTTGGTGGCATGTCCGACTACGCTGATCATGTCTTGACAACTTTATTTACTTTCTGTTTGGAGCTTACAAAAGGGTTGCACGACACATAGAGCAGGTATAACATCGGTGTGTGCCTTCCTTTGACAGTAGGGAGGTTACCGGTGATAGAAGCAGTAAGGAGTTGCGTTTAGCTCCAACTCCTGCCATACGCTTACCTACTAATTTCAGTGCTGGCTTGGATGTCATCACTCTGGTTTCCTGAACAGATACTTTTGACATAATTATTCTGTGAATTCTTAGCCTGACTCCACCACCTCCTTTAACTCTAGAATTTTGTACAACAGCTGCAACATTGATCGCCTGTTTCCCCTACCAACGTGACTTCTCCAACTCTCTTAAGAGACCAGAGAGATGGAAGTACGTATCGACTCTTCCATTCATTGCTATGAAACTACAACCTGCATTAATTTTTTTAAAGAATAATTATAGTTCCGATAAACTAGTACAAAATGCTTACGGTAACAATGCAGAGTCTTGCTTCAAGGTAGTGGGGTGAGAGAAAATTTTTTGCGAGGTGGAAGTAGTGGTGACTGATCCTTTAGATGCAAGTGTGCATCTTCGTCCTATGAGACTCTGCTTTGTTGCCATTGTTGCTGGATTCAGAGGCGTTTGACTGTGCAGCTTGCTGGCTATGTGGAAGTAGACCATTGTACGGTTGATACTATAACTCACTGTTTCTGGTTCAGGTCACAGAGTTCTGTAGCCAAGAAACCACTGATCTTTGTGTTTTTTTTTGTGATACTGGGCTTTTTAAAGAAAAAATAAATAGCTCGCATAGACTATGCGTACTTCAAGGGAGTAGAAAATTATATACACGGCTTTGCCTGTAGCTCATACACACACCGCAACATACACATTTTGCGCACCTCAGCTGCTCGCAACTTCCTTCGTTGACTGAAAATGTCAAACGTTCTACGAGCTTTGGAGTCAAGCAGCTTTTTTCTCAGGCTCTGCAAGCACGTTCATCCTTTGAAAAA